GTCTCAGAGTCCCTCCGACATGACGCTGCAGAACTGGACTGACGATGAACGTCATCCGCCAGCCCCGACTAGGCTTTTAGTAAGACAACTAGTATTTCCCACTCTCTGTTTCTCGTTACTTCAAAAGAACAGAACATGATCTAGAAATGCTTTAAAACTGAACACAGAAAAGTATCTTCTGAGTAAAAAAGTATAGCAAATGTGTATGGGGGGAGGTCCTGGACAGATACTACATATAAATTGCTAACTTCAAATTACTGTATAGTATTACTCAGCTAATCTAGTACCGGAACAGTACGATTCATCACATTCTATTGTAAATTGTCTGAAAATCAAAATGAGGGAGTCCTTTACTCAAAAGGTGACAAAGAAAAAACAATTCATCCATATGTTCCTTAACTTATTCACCGCAGCAGCTTTACTCTCACAATGTCACTCTTAAAAAAGGAATTAGTAAAACAGCTTCTAACAAGTTTAATCTGTGTGCTTTTTCCTCTATATTATTTTACATCCAACTAGCTGAAAAAGCCTGAAGCATAATTGCCATAATCCTTCATTTCTGCAGTTAGCTTTCTGTCTCTAATTGTGCGTGCGTGCATGTGCGTGCGCACGCGCACACACACACACTCCCTCCCTTCATCACTAATTTGTCTTTTTCAGATTCTTTCTTAGGCTCTAGGCCCTTTGGGATTTTGACTTGAGAAAGAAGTCATTATAACCAACTCTGTGAATATTGTGTTTCTGAAAGGCTTGGGCCACTTCCTGACAGTCTGCCATTTAGTGGACTGGCTTCTCAAGTTGCCAACCTAACTTTACCCTGACAGAGCTATCAATGGGGAAAGAAAACAAGAACAAAAGCAAAAAACACAAGTCTGCTGCAATGAGCTGTTAAGTATAAAGCAAAAACATGTTGAAAATCAAACTTCCTAACCCACAGCACTGAAACATGTGCTACACATGTTTTCTCAGATTCAAGCTTCTACTTTTAAAGAAACGGGGGGCACAACAGGTTATGTATATTGCAAAGTGCAAAGGAAGGAAGATTTAAAATAGAAATAAAACTTTCTCTTTCTTTTTTAGAAAGAATAGTGCAAACGCAAACGGCAAAATTCAGAGCTAACACAGATGGGGCTGCAAAGATGAGCCTTTGCCAACTGTGCTTCATATGATTTACAAAGAATCACTCCAACATCTTCCTTTTTCTTATTTTTAATTAAGGAGGAGGTGTTGTATTCTAAGGAAGCTATCTGGATGCTGCTGGCTGAAATGCAGATTTGATCTTCCCGTGCTGGTTAGCTAACATTGATTTTCTGCCCCAGTGAAAGACATTTTACTCTGATGCATGCCATTTAAATTCATTTTACACAGCTGCTTAATGTGGCTTGGCAAGGCACAGCCAAACTAGCTTTGTGGGTCTAAACAGGACTCCTGAGTTGGTAAAGGACAGATCCTATGGATTAGCAGCTGATGATAAACGCTTTTCTCCTCCCACTGTTATCTTCCTACTAACTCATGAAGTGACCTTGAAAGTGGCACAAGAAAGGAAAAAAGAGGAAAGACGATTTCTCCAAAATAAGTATGTTTACCTCATTCCATGCTTATTTCACCTTTAGGATTATGTTTACAGAATTCTTTACTTGTTGGTCCACATTTAGGACCATGTTTACAGGATTTAGAACTCTCAATTGCAAAATTATCATTTGCTCTTGTTGCCTAAATAAATGTATATTGAATATAAAGCTATAAAAAAGCTCTCTGTGTCATGCATTCATAACAGGTAGTGAAAACACAGTTCTGTAAGTTTACTCTTTAAACAAAGCTAGTCGATTGTTTCCGGTTTTATTTTACAAAATTGTTGTATCTTTCTGCTGAAACTAACTCCTTAACACTCTTCAATCTACATGAGATAATCTTTATTACTATACGCTAAACGATATCGGTAAAAGTAATAATATACTTTAAGAGTATTTACTAACCTAAAGACAGTGACAGCCTGATATTATAGTTTTGTATTAGGAAAGAAGAGAGATACTTTTTGTTGCTGTATGTAATTCCTGTGTCGAAATTGATAATAATATGGCAACACTGTGTTTAGAAAAAAAAATTCTGTGTTGCATTATTTGGTTGTATTCTCCTGATGACTTTAATATTCTAAACCTCCTTGGGAGAAGGAAATAATAGAAATCGTTGGCACAGATGTCTGCTCAGTGATGATGGCACGAGGCCCCTCGCAAGTCCTATTAAGAACCTAAGCCCTGGGCTTCCCTGGTGGCGCAGTGCTTGAGAGTCCGCCTGCCGGTGCAGGAGACGCGGGTTCGTGCCCCGTTTCGGGAGG